TCGCCCAGGCGACCGCGCCGCCGGGGTGGGGCGAAAACCGCCTCCACAGCCCCGCCCGCGAAAGCGACCGGCAGGAGGCGCCAACGGGCCGCAAAACCATTTTGGGGGGAAAGGAGGTCCTAAAAGGGCGTCACCAACTGGGGGACTCGGTGTGAGATTCGGTTGATTGGGTGTCGGTATGTGTTTCCTGAAAGGTCAGAATTTAGAAGAGCGGAAAAGTATGCAAAAAGGAATACAAAGCAGCAGCGCCTCGTTTCGATTGGTGAGGAGGGTATCGAAAAATCGCAATTAAACAATAAAATAAATGTATAAAAATTTCATAAGAAATGGACAAAAAAAATGGCTAGAAAATTATTATTTCTTCACTTTCGTCAATATTCCATTATTTTTGTACGCTTTAATAATAGATATAATTATGTATGCAACCATGTGTGCACTTTATCAGTTCGAATTTTCTTCTGATCTCCTTGTTCACGTGAAGAAGGAATTTAATAGCCTGTATCGGTGCTGGTTATCTATTTCACTGAAAACAAAGAACAGAAAATCAATTAATGGTATTCCCGTAACTAAAGAACCCCAAGAATATAAAAAAGGGAGTTAAATCAGCATAAAAATCATGAAAATCATTTAACCATTACTATATCGACATACATACTCAAATAACATGTTACGCATACATCCTTTGAGTTCAGCTAAAACAGCGAAGGGATAATAAAATTAACATTTTCTACACGTCATCGTTGCAACAGAAATATGTGTAAAAATGTTGGGGTAATTCGGTGCATTAATAAGTTTAGCTTTGATATGACTTCAATTTGGACCACAATTTCCTTCAGACAAGATAATTGCGGGACTACTTATGCATGCATTAGGAAATTCTAAACAAAACAAATCTAGACACACGAACCGATCGCAACATTGGCATATATTTTATTGGATAATATATACCATATATTTTTACATCACATGTTTATAGATGAAAAGGAATATTATTCTACCTAATTCATTTGCGCAATGATACATATTAGATGAACTCTGATACAAACTTAACCTCGACATTTTTTGCTATCACCATATTAAAGTAAACTAGAGTTTTGCACCGAATTCATCTTACTAATCCTTCAATTTGTCAATACTAATGATAATAATATTTTGTAAAATATATAAACCCTTAATATCTAACCTCGTCATTTTACTATTCTTATACTAACCTTATATGCGTTCGCATGATTCAGGCTCGAGTTCTGAGTCAGCTTTGTATTAAAGAGTAATATAAGCTTCAGTATTGTATCATATTTTTATTTCTAACCTTTCTTTTTGGGAAAACTTAAAGAGAAAAAACAACTTCTCGTGGTTTGAATTCGTACATAAAATTAAAGGAATGTGTTCTTAGCTATGTGAAAGCAACACACCGCAACGTAGATCCTTATCGATAGAAACCGACACCTCCCAGTTATTTTCTGTACGCATAACGTACGCAATGACCCACTTGAGGTTCTGATCAAACTTCGCCTTCATGAAGTTCATATTGAAGACTGGGCAGTCGGCAGAAACACCGACCGTGTAGTTGAGCACCTTCTTTGAGGTATTGTAGCTCGTCTCCGCAGCGATCTGAGTCCACATCCTCCTATCACCAAAGTTAAAGTTGATGGGTAAGACCACGTTGGCGGTGTGGACTTTATTATGCTTTGTGAACAAGGCGACCTCGTAGCCCTTATCGGCCCAGCGGCAGCCCGCGCTCCACTCATAGTTTCTTTCCTTCAATTTGTAGACGGAGCCCGCGCCCAGGAAGCAGTTCGGTACGACCTCGACCCCTACCCCGACCTCTACCGCCTTCTGCGTGATCTTTTCGTGCGTGGTCAGAAACTTAACGGCCCCACTGGCCTCGTGGGTGATCTCGTAGTCCACGACGTTCCCCTTCTTCTTGTGCAGGACGGACTCGAGCTTGTGGCCCTTGTCGGCCCAGCTCAGCGTGAGCTTCGCGTTGTCCTGGAAGTGCGGCGAGAGGTTCAACTTCGCGGAGACGGGGTGCTTTGAGAGGGCGTACTCGGCATCAACGGAGATGGCGCCATCGGAGGTCGCCTGGGGGTTGACAAACAGCGCGTCCTTCACGCCTTTGAACTTGGATTCCACCTTCCACGACCCAGGCGCGGAGAAGTTTTTGGTTAAAAGGTCCTTCGTAGACTTGTTGAAGTCTTTGAAAAGAACCTTCGGGGGGATGGTCGCGGGGGTGCTCCATCCCATGCCGCTGGAAGTGTTTTTGGAAAATAACATTCTTGTATAAGTAGGCTTAGCTTACGATTCTCTCTTTGTACGTTGTAAATAAATAACTAAAAGGTTCAAAACTCTATAATTAAAAATTAGGTGAGGTTTTTGTTTAACCAAGTACATAAAAAGAGAGAAAGAGTATCATTATGAAAGATAATATATATTTTTAAAAAAATGACAAAAAGAATACAAAATCGTATTGCATGACCTAGAAAATGCTTGAAAAATCTTTGTAATCCCCATAACTGAAGATGCCATACAAATTACAATGACATAAGGGTATATATTCAATCATACGTGTTGATTCGCATCCCATTCTATTGATATTAAATCGCATTCATCTTTGCATTTCCGAAAAAAAGTACCCATACGAACCATCCCCATCCTCACAAAAGGATATCACAATGCTCTCACATTCAGCACGTTATTGAGCACTCAACATATTGATTCGATGTATATAATTCTTGCCTTCACTGAAATAAGGATCTAAAAGGCGCCAAAGTAGCTCGAGCTAATGCCGCGGAGTCTAGCTCCCGTTATAGTGAAGTGGCGGTGTTCACGAAGAATAGAATAGTACTCAAAAGAATGCATCGACTTGTGAAAGGCATCACCGCAGCATTCATGATCACCCTCTTCACTATACAGCCCAAGAAATTCATCTTCCTCGCTCCTCGTTATCGCCTCTCTTCGAGTATTCCCTTCGCCAACGCTGATCGCGTTGTTGGGGATTCCCGAAGAGAGTAATAAATCACCCTCATCAGTAGTGGTTTGACCTTCACTAAGAAAAGAGGTCTCTGCAGGGACTGATGCGATAGATAATTTGACGTAGGAACCTACGTCAGAGGCAACGAGCGAGCTCAACTGCTGTTCCGTCGATAAAAGGAATCCGCGTGAGGTTTCCAACGCACGATGCAACTCACACGAAGTTGAAAAAGCTATCTGTGATATTGGCAAAGAGGTACTGTCCTGGATGCTCAAACTCTCCCTCTGCTCTCTAGGTAATTGTTGGGATAGCGGCACCGAACCTGAAATGAAATTATCAATGTTCTCGCTCGAACATTCTCCTGCGAAATCGTGTGAGATGCTCGTCTCCTTGACGTTATCCTGCGGCGTGGAGGCTGCAGAGTCGACGCCAATCAACTCCCCTTCGCCTGTGTATAATTCACCCCCCTTCGAGCTCCCAGACATCTCACCGGGGCTCTCAACATCAAACTTTTGACCCAAACAGGATGAAGAGACCGAGAGGGGCGGGCTTCTTCCCACTACATCCACCTCCAAAGCCTTTAGAGAGGATCCCTCTGAGGTGGGCACCGATGCCCTGCAAAGCACACCAAAGGTTTTCTCTGATGGAAGCCGCGCACGTCCATCACCCTCATTCTCCTCGACGTCGTCTGGCGCACGATTCGAAAGAATCGCCTCGTATTCACCATTCGCCTGAGCAGTGGGTAAATTCTCAAAAACTGGCAAGGGATCCAGCAACACAGAACCTTCCTGTCCTTCAATCCCAACCGAAGGGGGATGGTAGTCTTTCCTCTCACTTTCCAACACTTCAGCGGCATCGCCTGGAAGCTGAATTCCGCCGTCCTTATGGTTTGGGTGGGATTTGCCGTCTGCAGACTGCTCCATCGAGGCAAGACTTAGTTCACGAAAATACCTTTCCCTGGGGAAATCTCCATCAGACGTCCCACGGGAATTCGTCTTGGCGGTTAGCGCCCCGCTCGGGAGCCCTTGCAAGTGGTCGGCAAGGCCACCCGACACTGAGAACGGGATGGAAAACGCTAATAAAGGGAGGGTTGATGGCAACCCGGCCTTTTCCTCCTCCTCTTTGTCCACCATGCTCGCTGTCAAAACGTCCTCCGTAGGGAAAACGGCATCGGTCGGTCGCGCCCCCTCAACTCCGCCGTAAGGTTTTTGAAGTGCCGCCAGCGATGAAGACGCTTGGCCTCCGCTCGACCTATCGGACGATCCACCGGGGTACAATTTTCCCGTTAACGTCATGAGCCGCGACGCGGGGCCCCTATCCTGCGCCTCCGCATCGCTTTCCACACTAGAAAGTGAAGAAGATGAAAAGAAGGCCAAAGAAGATGAAGGGAGAAAGTTGTAAAAGTAATCCGGGGAGCAAAGAGGCGTTGACGTCGTCTCCTCAGAGGTGGTCGTGGAGGCGCAGACCGCGGTGAGTGAAAAAATCCCCTTTTCAAGAATACGGGATGATGGGGTGTGGCTTTTTACCTGAGCTTCTTCCGTTTCGTAGGATATCAACCTTCCCTGAAGTGGTTTGGGGTGCGTTGACTGCGAAGAATCCAAAGAGGGCAGCGTGTACAAGGAAGCGGTCTCGTCCAAGCCTCTAAACTTCACAGAGATAGGAACGGTCGAGGAGAAGTCGGACGCTGACGAATGGGAACGGGTATGAAAAGAAGCTGACTGTAAAGGGGTCAGTTGTCCACAGGATGCTCGCGAATCCTGTAGAAGTGCATCCGCTGAATGTTCTCTGGAAGCTCCTGGGTGTGTGATATTGGCGTTTGAAATGCCTTCCGAGACGGTCTCAATCACAATACTCTGAACAGTACAGCACCGAATGTCATTGTGTGAGCTGCCATGTAAAGAAATGGCCGCGCTCGGGTTGCCTTCATCCGCACAACTCCCATCACTATCCCCATCACGTTTAGGATAGATGTGAGAAGGGGATTCAAAAATAGGCAGGACCACATCGGTATTCTCACTTTGCATCTTTTGACCCGCCATTTCTGTCGTTTCTTCACGCACTTCCACCTCGGTTTCGGTCAGTTGAGGGATGATTGGCTCGATAATCGCCCCCATTTCCATAGACTGATGTATTTGCTGTGAAAATAACAATGTTAGCAGGTCCGCATGTTCGGCTGTGCCTCCAATATTCTCCCGAGGGTTGGAATCCTCAGTTAGGGATATTTTGGATGCTTGAGAACACCGCGGGTGCAGTTCGGGCGTACAAGGAAGACAGGTCCTGTCGTGGTGTGCGGAGCGCATCCATGGTGCAGCATCATGATAACCACACATTCTCCCCACAACCCCAAGGGAAGTGCTTAAAGCACGTAGATTATTCTCTACCACTTCACGATGGCATGGTTCTTTCTGAAGTTCGGAGAAAGGCAGATATCCCAAGTATTCCCGTAGATCCATGCATGGATTAGAAACACCGCTTTCCGGAGAACCCCCCACGGCAGGGGAGGGTCGGCTAAAGCTCTCGGTCATGGCCTTCATTTCAGAACCTGCATCCATGCCATCGTTTTTGGTTTTCGGATACTTTTCATGATGAAGCTCTCCAGTCTGTGGAAACAAAGAGTCCAATAAGCCCAACGCGATGTCGCCGTTGGAGAAATAAGCAGTCTCGCGAACTGGGGCCATCCTTCGCGGCGGACTGGTGAGCTTCGAACAAGAAACCTTGACTTGAATGGCATCCGCAGAGATTTCTTCCCTGAAGCTTTCAGGGTGGTCCATAGGCTCCGCACCGCGGAACTCCCCACTTGAAGAGAAAAGGCCACTCGTGCAGGGAGACGGATCTGCGTGGTGGACAGCGCTTATCTGTGCCTGAGGAGGTGAGATCCCTAACAAGGTGGCGATGCCTTTGGCCTCCCTTAAGGCTGCGTGCAGAGCAGCCTTTGGAGAGCTGCGAGAGGCAGTAGGGGAACAGTGACTCCACCCCTGTTGATATCCCCCAGGGCGGGAAATACCCCTCTCGTCCTGAAACAATGACGTCAAAGAATGACTAAAATCATTTGTGATTGGACGCATGCTGTCCGAAACCGCATCGGGTTGATCATTTCGGTCAATGGAATCTCCCAATTGACAAGTAGGATTATCCTGCCTTATATCAAAATGATTTTTTGCACTATGAATGTGTTCGCAAGTAAGCTTAATTGGTAAGTTAGTATATCTATGTATCTTTGGTGAATTTGTATCTGGTGTGTGCTGCGTACACTGCGGTTTATGATTTAAAAAAAGCACTCTAATGGGGCTCACATCTGAATTCATGGTTGTCCCTACTATAACTATGATCAAGGCCGCAACTAGCCTTTTTTTTTCCAATTAAGTATTATATCAAGTAGTGTGTATAGTTGTATTCATATCCTTTGCGCATGAACTAGATGGAAGAAAAGGTGGCCAAATACAAACAAAATAAGAAGGTAAACACAAACTCCAAAACTTTCTAACACAATATTTCAACACCTACAACAAAATTTTAGGCACCCTCCGTAGAGCTAGGTGTAAAGAATGATAATCTTCACCTATTCAGTGCAGTAGTTAAGGAGTAAAAAAAAAATGAGAAATGAGTTCCCTACAAACTCCCCGCTTGGGGGAGAAAAGAGGTTAGTCTCTTATTAATCTCCTGTGAATCTTGACAATCCAGCTGTTCTCCGTTTAAATTCACCATCAACGCATATGGCACAAATACACATGCATAACCATATCCCCCAAAAAAAAAGAAAGAGAAGCACGAAATAGAAACAAGGTGAAGCTGTAAGTCTAGAAAGACATGAAAGCAAATTGACAGACACGTGAGTGCACGCTTGTCCAGCATGATGATGGTATTTGTATAACTTCCTTTGCCCCTATCCCTCACCACACGCACACCTCCTAATTACTTCAGGCGGCCAACGTCAGGAGTGAGCGGCTGCAGTGTAGCCATGGTCGAGTTCAGATGTTGCTGAATGGCCGCAAAAGGGTCCTCCGCAAAGGCGGGCACGTTCACGACCTTGTCGTAGAGCCGCAATTCCTCCTGGACGATGTTCATCTTTTCCTCCGCGGCGGTTCGCCTGCGCGGGGTCGCCGCCGCCTTCCG